TTTTTTTTGGTAACTGGCATCGAACTCGGGTCCTTGTGCTTGCGAGGCAGGCCACCAAACGGCTGAGCTAAATCCCCAGCTCAATTTATCTATTTTGTCTTTGCTTGTTTGTCCTTTTGGTGTCATTTCTAAGAACTGCTAAACCCAAGGCAATGGAGAATTATCCCTCTACTTTCCTCTGAGAGCAGCATAGATTTATGTGTTGCATTTAGGTCTTTCATCCATTTTGAGTTAATTTGTTTACCTGGTATGAGTTGGCATTCAACTTCATTGGCACACAGTAGGTCTGTTGTAGCTGTCTAATGTATAAATGTTTGAGCCCTGTTTGGGGGCACACAGTAGGAGGCTGATAGGTGAGAGTGATCTCCTATGTGAAGAGAAAGGGATGTGGATGAAGCACCCACCACAAAAGGAGCAGACAAGAGGGGAGAGCACAAAATTTTGGTAAAAAATCAGCAGAAACCCCTCTCCCCTACCAGACCTCCAAAGTAATAAATACATTTAATTTAAAAATCAATGAGGAGGCCAGGGTATATTGTTCAGTGGTTCTGCCACCTGCCTTGCAAGCACAAGGTCCTGAGTTTGATCCCAGGTACCAAAAAAAAAAAAAAAATCAATGAGGAAAATGTTTAGAACTCTAAGAGAGCTGCAAATGATTGTTTTTCAGCTGAAGAAAATATCAAGCAACCATCAGACTTATTCTGCAGTAAGTTTTTTTTTTGTGTGGGTGTACTTTCTTTGCAGTTTTTCTTCTTAAAATGTTACAGCCTTTCAAAGGATGGGATCTGAATCCCAGATACACCATCTTGCACTATCTTAGAGATAGTGGGCAAATGGTACTCTCCCATGTCAGACACTGGGTGTGTTCTGCTCACTATTTCTCGTCCATGAGGGAACCTGCTTCCCTATTTAGTCAATTCAACGTTTCTGAGCCAGTGAGCCTGACAAAGAATAATTTCTGTGTTACTGGGTTTCTAGGGCTACCTTAACAATGTACCACAAACTGCATAACTTGAGAAACATGATTATATTGTCTTGTGGTTCTGAGGGCTAGTAAAGTTGGTTCCTTTAAAGGACTGTCAAGGGAAAATCCATTCCATGTCTCTCTCCTAGTTTCTGATGATTTACTGGCAATATTTGGTGTTCTTTAGCCTGTGGACACTTTACCTCAGTATTTACAATTAGTTTTAATGTGATATTCTCCCTATGTGCATGTTTGAGTCCAAATTTCCTCTTCTTATAAAGACATCATTTGTATTACATTGGAGGCCTACTCTACTATGGTGTGATCTCATCTTAACTAATAACATTTGTAATATCTCTCTTTCCAAATAAGATCACATTCTGAGGTACTGAGGGTTAGAATTGCAACATACAAATTTGGTGAAGACATAATTCAAGTTATACTAAGGGAAAAAGGCAGAGCAGCAGATCTATAGAACAAGGCCCATTAGAAGCATTGGTTGTGTCCATACTTTGGAGAATTTGGGCACTCTGGGGAGTGAGCATTCTACCAAGGGTGCTCCACACGTATTTCCATATTATATGAAGCCTCTACCTAAGAAGAGATCTTCTGGTTCTTAGTATCACAAATCCTTGTAAATCAATGTGCAAAAGAATTAAAAAACGTTGTAGACGAGATCGTGGTGTAGCAAAGCCATGGTGGTGTGAGCAGACATACTAGAAAGGTGTCTGATAACAGGGGACTTCATTATCCACATCACCACCGGCTTGAGGAAGGCAACCACAGAGAACCAGAATTACCACCTGCCATCCATTGCCCACACTTTCCACTGGCCTTGTGAGTAACCCACATCCAACCTATAAGCCTCATTCTGTCACCAGTCACTGGTCACACATCCCCTCCTCCAGGACCCAAGCTGCTGACCACATGTATGGCCTGCTGAGAGTTCTTGGGGCAGGAGGCAGGCGAATTATCCTTCAATATGTAATGTGATTATTCCTTCACATCTAGGAGTTAATGTCCATGTCTCACTCCACAAAATAGATGTCCTTACTCATAAAGACAGAAGCCCCACTGAAAATTAACTTACTCGCAATGACAGTGACTGAGTACCAACTATGTGCCAATGTTAGAGTGCAGTACTTGACACACAAAGTCCCTAGTCTTGTCAGCTTACATTCTACAAAGAGAGAAAGTCAATAAGGGAGTAAGGAAAATAATTGCAAATTTTAAGACGTGCTCTAAAGGACATGAACAGGGGATGAGGTAGACAATAGGAAGAGCAGAGATGAGGGGAATGTGAGCGTCTACAATAAACAGAATAGTTAAGAAAAGCCTCTCTGAGAAAAAGTCATTTTAGCTTAGCCCTGGGGATGAAAAAGGAGCCAGGGTAACAAAGATATGGAGTAACAGTGACCCAGACATGGGTAATAGCTGTGCAAAACACTGTTGCAGTATAGTATTTGCCATTTTCAAGAAATAATAGGAAGCCAGTGCCTCTGGAGTGGGAGGGGAAAGGGGAAGCATGGCGGGAAAAGAGCCCCAGGGAGAAGTGGGAGACCAGATAATGTAGTGCTTTGTAGGACTTATTAAAGAATTTAAATTGTATCCTAATTGTGAGGGGAATCTCCTGGCAAGTTTTGAGTAAAAGATTGACGTGATCTAACTTGATATATTAAAGGATCACTCTGGGTGCTGTGTTGAAAACAGACTGTGGTGGAAGCAGGGTTTCCAGACTGCAGAAAATAGAAATGACGTGAGAGAAGATAATGGTGACACACACCATCCTGGAGGCAGGAGAAATGGGGTGAGGCGAGAAAGTCAGACTTGGGATATATTTCAGACTCAATGGATTAGGTGTGGAAGGCAAGAGGAAGAGGAGGATTGCAAGCAGGATGGCTTCTATCCTTGAGTAACTGCAAATGTAAACTTAGCTGTGAAATTACTAGGCTCTCAAGCTCCCTTCCACAGTCTCTAAATGGTGAAACCAACAGCTCCTGTAATCCCTGGCCTACTAGACTAAATCAAAAGTGCATATGGGCTGGGATTTAACTCAGTGGTGCCATCGCCTGCCTCACAAGCACAAGGTCCTGAGTTCGATCCCTGGTACAAGGAAAAAAAAGTGCATAGGTAATAAAATCCCAAGCAAGGGATATTAAAACTCCATTTCTAAAGTGCAAGGTCCTCAGTTTGATCCCTAGTACGTATAAATAAATAAATAAATAATTAATTAATATCCATTCCTATCTAAGAGGCAAGCAATAGGAATAAAACTGTACTTAAGACCTACTCTTCAGCCTATGATACATCGCCAATATTTTCACTGTTGATAAATGAAATTTCTAGAACCTACTGGCTCAATCTTTCAAAACACTTGCTATCATAGAGCTCTTCTAATCTGTCCTCTATTGGCTACAAAAACACTGTTGTGCCAACTCAAGGAACTATGTATCTGAAAAATCAAAACCGAAAAAAGTCATGCTTCAGAGTCAAAGGTATAATTTTCCAAGATCTCGGAGCACTTCAGGTAAAATGTCTCTTATGGCATACAAAAAGATCCTCGATATCATTAGTCACAGGGAAATGTGAATAAAAACCATAGTGAGATATCACTTCCCGGCACTAGGATGTCTATAATAAAAAAGACAACAAGTTTTGGCATGGATTCAAAGAAGTCAGAACCCTCATACGCTACTAGTGGGGATGTAAAATGATGCGACCTCTTTGGAAAATTGTCTGCAAACTTCTCAAAATGTTAATCACAGAATTATCATATGACTCTCCAATTCCACTCCTAGGTATATTCCTAAAAGAAATGAAAGCAGATAATCATACAAAAACCTGTATTCACTTTCCTGTAGGTTGAAGCAGGAAGATCCCAATATTGAGCCCAGCCCGGGCAACTTAATGGCTAAACATTTTTAAAGGGAGTTTTAAAGGGGTAAAAGCCCTGGGTTCAATCCCCAGTACCACAAAAGAAAAAAAAAGTTCACAGCAGTATTATTCATAATAGCCAAGAATGGAAACAACTCAAATGTCTACCAACTGATGAATGAAAAAATATGAGGCATATCCATTAAATTGAATATTGTTTGGCAATAAAAAGGAGTGAATGGATAATACTCATACATTCTTCACAGGGTTAGACCTTGAAAACAATATGGCAAGTGAAAGAAGTCAAACACAGAACACTGTATGCTGTATAATTCCGTGTACATGAAATGTCCAAAAATGGTGCAACCATAGAGATGGCAGATTAGTCATTGCCCAAGGCTGCAGTAGGAGCAGAGGATGAACAGGGAATTCGAGATTTCTTTTTGGGATGATGAAAGGGTTCTGGAATTATATGTGGTATGAGTTGCACAATTCTAAATACATGAAAAGTCATCAAACTGTATACTAAATGTGTAGGTTTTGTGGTATTTAAATTATATTTAGTAAGACTGTTTTTAGCATATTTGCCAGTTTTTAATTCTCAGATATAAATGTAAACAGTGGAGAAATGAGACATTTCTCTTTATCCTCCGGAAAACATTTTCTTTAAAAAAAAAACATAGGAAACTCTTCATGCATTTGCATGTGATCCTTACATTGGGGCCATGTTAATGGCCTCTGTATCATTCTAATTTACTATAAATGCTGCTGAAGCGAGCACAATAAAACTGTTCTTTAAAAAGCCTTTTCCTTCCAGGACACCACTCTCCTTTTCTGTGATGATGGAAATTATTTTTTACTTTTATTAGTACACGTTTGCAGTACATAATGATTACATTCACTATAGGGAATTGGTACGTGCATGTAACACATTTCAATCCTTTTTATTTCCCCTTCCATCCCCTTTTATTTTTCCAGCATCAGATTCAATTATTTATCTTATAAGACCTTATAAAATTATCACACACAGAGATTAACAAGCTGATTATTAGGGCAAAGAACACATAAAACGTAAGACAATTTTACTTACTCAGAGTGCACTTTTAGATGGAAATGTTTTTTATCTGCCCTGCTCAATATGGCAGCAAAGAGCCACCTGTAACAACTGAGCACTTAAAATGTGCTTACAATACTTAGAGCTGAATGTTTATCTTAATTAATTGAAATTTGAAGAGCCACATGTTGCAAGTAATCCACTCAAGAGCAAGAGTTTTTACAGTTGAGAATTTCTATTCAAAGCTCATCCTCCATTTTAACTTTCTCACCAAATGAGTTCTTTTAAAGTGGGGCTTTTCTTTGTTACTCTAACGCCTTTAAGACGAAGAACTTCTTCACCTCTTCACACCCTTATCTTGACTGACTCTGGCCAAGGTGACCTCTACAGTATAAGGACTTTTTGACCTGGCTCTGGAGTCCTCCTATGTCAAAAGAATTCCCTTATCAAGTCATCTCTGCATGTTTGAAGAGTTATCAAGAAAGTTGAATCTAGCTCACATTGACTGTCTAATGTAAGACTGAAAAGTTATAAGGCACTAACTGTAGAAGCCACCTCCAGAATCCTGTGATCATGTGTCAAAAAATTGCAGCCATCCTTCTGCACATCAGAAGTGCTCTAAAACATATGACGTGTAGCAAAGCATTTCCTATCCACTTGGCATACGGGATGTGTGTAGGGGTGTGTGCATGCTACAGGAAGGACTTTGGGTCAATAGCTCTAGCCCTATATCTTTAACTCAGACACATCCATCTATTATGCAAGCATCACATAGCCAATAGCTAGCACCGGTGAGAGGAAGGGACATGTTATACACTGAATGTTTGTATCCCTAAAATCCATGTGTTAAAGCCCTAACCTCTACTGTGGTGGTTTTAGAAGGTAAGACCTGTGGGAGATAATTAGGTTTAGATGAGAAAAGGGGTTGTAAAGATGCAGCCCCTGTGGTGGGATTAGTGCTTTCATATGAAGAGGAAAAGAGGGCCAGGGATTTAGCTCAGTGCCACCTGCCTTGTAAGCACAATGTCCTGAGTTCCATCCCTGGTACAAAAAAAAAAAAAGAAAAAAAAAGAAAGAAAGAAGAGGAAAAACAACAGATCCTCTCCTCTCCTCGCCTCACCTTGCCCAGCCTCGCCTCTCCTCACCTCCCCTCCCCTCTCCTCTCCTCTCTCTTTTGGAGATACTGGAAAACTGTGACCATCTGAAGACCAAGAGAATCCTCCCCAGGAAGCAAACTGCCCGAAGCCTTGATCTTGCATGTTCCAACCTTTGTAACCGTGAAATGAAAATGCTATCTAACTCACCTAGTCCATGGTATTTTGCTATGAAAGTTCAAGCTGACTCAGACAGAGCACAAAGAAACAAGTCCTTCTGGCAGCCAAAGTCCTGCTTCATTCTTTTTTTTTTTTTTTTTTTTTTTTACCTTCTATTGCATCCTGCTGCTGCAGGATGCTGCATCCATTCAGCTGCTAACCTAAGTCTTTATCCCTTTGTGTGGACCCTGTTCTCACCTTTAGACTTCAGGACAGATTTACTTTTTCTTTCTTGACCCTTGGTGTTCTTCAGAGAACACAGTTCTCTCCACTCTGACTCTACCCCGTTAGTACAATTCTGAGTCACCTTCTGCTTCATCCAGCCTTAATCTCTCCTCCACAACAACCCTCATCGTTGGGAGGCTGGTGACTTGTCTAGAGCCTAAAAGGACCTGGATCTCAGTTATACTATTGTTTCAAGGACAAGAGTTTTTTTTTTTTCAGAAAGAAAGTAATACATATCTCACCAATCAAAGGACAGCTGTATATAATTATTTACAATACTGTGACTTATGAATTTGAGACTAGAACACTCTGGAAAAGCTTGTGACTGATTTAAAGTGACCTCTGAATGTTTAAATCTTTGCATTTATAATAATTTTTAGTGACCAATGACATTCTTCAAAAAACACATCCGAACTTTTCAATACCCTTTATTCTATGCCTACACTAGACTCCTATATCTCTGTTTCTGAATTCTCACCTCCATGCTTCCTGACCCTTCGCACAAAACCCACAAGGGTTTGTCCCATATACACCATCATCATACGGATGTCCAAAATTTGATATTTTCAAGTTGCATTAATTTAATAATTCAGCACATATGTACTGAGAGTCTATGTGTTAAGACCTGGTTTGGATGTTTTGGATAACGAAACAGAGAAAAAGTTGCTTGCCTTTGAGGAAACAGGCAGAGGAAAGATAAATCAACATCTTAGCAGGTAGCCAAGGCCAGGTGATAAAAGTTGCCACTGTGCCCCCTAGGTCCCGTTTCAACCTTTAATATAAGAAATGTAGTTTTCCATCAGGCTTTGCAAACAGTATTTGCTGGTGATGCTGCTGATGATTTGGTATTTTTCCCAAAGAGAGCTCTAAAACCTGAACACTGTTACAAATTGAACCCAGGTCAATTTCATTAGGAATTGTCACTCAGTAACTCTTATGACCTTTTAGCTAAAGACTGATGTTGTAAATGAGCAGTGTTATCAACTGAATTTATTTGATAAGAATGAGATTGCAGTTTTTGAAGACAGCTTTCTACCTAAATCTCCAAATTACCAGCTGCTTCTGTGAACAGTCTTATCTTCCATTCACTGCAAAATAAAAACAAAGACTCTATCTCCACTCCTACCAGAGTATGGGTAGGGTCTGGGCCCCTTCAGACATATACCTGTGCATCACTGTAGCTTTTAGCACACCTGTTTCCTTGTCCGTATTCTATGATCATTGCTATAAATATATAATGGATACAGAAAGACAATATCATAATATATAGGGGAACTTTAAATGAACCATTATGCATGAGAGGAAATGGCCCTAAAGAAAACCCAAATCTTATGTGAAGGATACACTGACCACCAAATGGCATTTCAGAGTTGCAGTGAGAAATATTAAAGGCAGTAGTCCAAGCCACTGCCTGAATGAGGCCAGTTCTCCATTGTTCATGCAAAATGCTGAGTGAAAACACAGTTTACCAAAGGTTTAGCTTGTCCTATAACTATACTGACCCAAGGAGACGGGCAGCCCAGCAGATCTCCACTGGTATTTTCAAATGGTTTATTTCTCAAACCTACTACACATGAGACATTGGAAGAGATAATAACATATTTCCTTACCTGAGAGAAAGATAAAACTCAACATGAGAATCACTCCATAAAGCCTCTGATATAGGATGTGTTCTTTCATTGTCTAAACCTGTGTTCAAAAGGTCAGAAATATGTCCATCTCAGATTCGGAGCAAACAATCTCTCTTTCCCATTCTACTTAAAGTTTCCTCCTATTGCTTAAAGCCATGTCAATTGACCCCAGGATAGACTTGCTGGACTTATCTGTGCTGGCTGAAACTTCACCGATTGATTTATCTGTATACTCAAGAAATTTTATTACCTACTATGAGCCAGGCACTGTTACTATAGCGAACATGGCACTGAGAAGACAAGATAGAGATACCTGGCCGTGAGGGGAAGCCCAGTGGGGTAGGCACTCAGAAAATGCATAATTACAAAGTGTTATGCATTCAACCTTAAGACACACAACTTCCAACTACTAGTTTTAACGATCCTTGACTTTTTAGTTGTTCTTGTTTTCATTTTTAATTGACATATAATTACACATACTTATGAGTTACAATGATACCTGGATGTATGCATACATTATGTAATTATCATATCAGGGTTGAAGGAACATAATGAAAGAGGGCTTTATTGACAAAATAAATTCATCAAATCATTAAAGCAGATCTGTTTAGAGAACTGACCACCATCTCATTATATTCACCCAGCTTTTCTCCTTAATTAATTATAACAGAAGCTTCTTATTTGGGACATAATATTGAAAACCCCAATTCTCCAAACAAAATTTTCTTCAAACCACAAATCCTATTGAAACATATTAAAGAAAATTGACAGTAGAATGTTGACTGGCATTTTCTGATTTTAAATGAAATACCCTTCTGAATGATTTACTACTAATTTAACCATTTCCATTCCTATAGGATAATGCAACACATTGTATTTCTTTCCACTTCTAAGTGGACTTTGGAGAGAATAGACTCACTTTACATGTAATATAACTGAAGCCTATTAGAAAATCAAATGAATCTTGAACTTGCTAGGAGCACCAGCCATTAATCCGCCGCTTTATATTTACCAAGTGCTCTACTACCATTCTCATTAGAATAATAAGAGAATTTGTATGACCTGAGTGGATTTTTCTAAACTAGTAGCTTACAAGTGTGGAGGTGTCTATGTCTTTTATGACTTGCAAGATGAAATACAGCTTAAATTTATAGTGTATATGAGGACTAGACTGAGAATCAGGAACCGTGAGACCATACATATTTCTGTTGCTTTATTTCCCTGGGACTCAGTTTCCTTATCTGTAAAAATGGAGATAAAAATCTGCCTATTTCCCTGAGCTTCTCTAGAAGAGGATCAAATGAAACGATAGTTCGAAGGCAATTTTCAAAGCATAGCGTGCTATGGAAATGGATAGGATCACTATCTATAAAATGGAATTTTCAGCAGCAAACAAGCCAATTTATATTTTTCTCCCATTTCCTCTAAACTTTTGTAAGAATCCCAAGGTATGTTTCAGAAACTTACCTGGCACCCAATAAATAAATCAGTGGACATTCACTGGCAGAATACTATGCAACTCCTAAAAGGAATATGGTAACTCTGCATGTTAGGCTTG